AGGAATGCTGTGCACAGCTGCCACAGTAATTCCGAACACAGTCTTAGCTCCTTTAGCCCAGATGCTTATGGGGAACGAGGCTATGGGCTTGTTGATTTGGACGGCAGGAGGCTGCCGTTTGAGCCCACAGTAGCCAACTGCATCATGGTAGAGACTGCTTTAGACAAAGGGCATGGAGCTAAGCATAGTGGTGGTACGTGGCCTAAAGTCATGGTCAATATTTCAACAGTAGAAACTGAAAAGTTCTCTGTGTACAAGAAGCCAAAACAAAGGAAGTCCATCTTTGATCCTGACACTTTCAAAAGACCACAGACTCCTCCCAAAGTGGACTATCTCTCTCCTAATCAGGTGTCAGGGCATTCGCCTCAGCCCTCAAAAGCTGAAGTGGCTTCAACCCCTCCAACCCCTCCCAAGAGAAGTGACTCTATTAAATTTAAACATAAACAGCAGACAAGTTCTGCCTCAGACTCTACGGTAACCACTGGATCTCCGCCTACCAGCCCAGCTACAGCCCAGCCTCCAGCGTCCTTGGCACTTAAGCAAGACTCAGACACTCACAAGGGGCGCAGCAGGGCCACTGGGCATTATTACAGGGAGGAGGGGCTCGACTGTACTCATCTGTCTTCAAGAAAATCTTGTGAAGATGACATTGGCTTTCAAAGAGTTGAAGAGCCAGAGATAAAAAGACCAAGACCAAAATCAGCACCTGCTTTGAGACATAAACTCACCCCCGTGCCCATTCCTAATCCTTCACTTCAGGTAGAAATTAAATATACACAAAGCAGGGATGCTGGCCTGTATATTAAAAGTTACTCAGGTTTGGGTGCCTAACTTGACACACCTCAGAGGGATTCTGATTTTTCAGAGAAGAGATGCACATTATGAAGATCGGGGCCCTTCAGGGTGTGTCAAATTGGATGCCCAAAATGGATAATAATGAAAATATTGGCCCTTGAAACTTTCATTAAAATACTTTTATGTCTCAGAGGACAAAAGTAATTCTCAGAGTTACAGTATTCAAAAGGCACTGATTGTTACAAAAAGTGTCTCACTTGATGACTGTTTCATGCCCTTCGGTAGCCGATGTTTTCCGTGATAATTCTAGGTTCTCTAGGATGTGTTGACAGGTTGCAAAAATTGAATTATGAAGGGTCAAGTTTACAAACCTATGTATGTGTCCAATGATGCAGATGGGCAACTAGTGGGATTCACAAAAGCAATTGAAAATGGATGGGAGTTGGGCTCTTGATTGAATATCCGCATTTCTGTGAATCTCGTTAGGTGCTTATTTACATCGTTAGGTGCCTAAACACCTTTTTATGTCTGGCCTGAAGAAGATAGCGTTAAAGTGTGATTGTACCCTGTAAATGTTGACTATTTAATAAGGGACTGTGGACCGGAAAGCACTTGGTTTTGCTGCAGAGGAAGGTGTGAATGAACCATCCCTCCATGGTAGGGATGTAGACAAAGGAAGGATTGCAGATGGTCAATTTAAGGTCGGGTGTTAACTGGGAGATAAAGTAAAAATGGCCACAGGGTTAGTGAGGCTCAAGGCCTTCAGATCAGATCTGCTCTGTTTCCAAGTAAAGAGTCTTCCCCCTCACCACATGCACATACAGAGCTATCAGTTAATTTTTTCTAACTGGGATCTTGCGATTCAAACTGGTTTCTCTCTAGTTTTAAGCATAATTACCAACTATAAGGATTCTGCGGGCAAGATTTTCCCTCAGTTACATCTGATCAGGCCCACTGTTTTCATTGGCTTTGCAAAAGTGTAACAGAGCAGACAATGGAGTAAAAGGTATAAGTGAGACCAGGGTTTGACGCTCAGTGCTGTGAGGTGCAAGGTACTAGTGCTAGTTTAAAAACTGTCATGATTTTTTTTAAATGAAAATTTAGCAATTTCTGTCAGTTGTGCTAAGCACCTCTTGCTCCTATTTTGATATCATTTGGGGGTTCAAGAAACACTTGCCAGCTCCCAGAAGGGCCTTTAATAATTTTATCTGGTCTAGAATAGAGCCCTGCTACCTCTTTTTATTGCTGTCTGCACTGCATTAGTAACAGCTTACTCTTGTAACTGCCGTCAGCAGATGATTATTGAACAAACCCAGGGAGCAGAGAAAAAGGATGCTATTTTCAAAACAGATTTGTACTGTATAAAGCTAATATATGGGTTACTCCTGCCTTTTGGTTCATACCCAGAAAAACATTGCATATTTGAGGGCCAGGAATTTGCCTTAAACACAATGTCAGGTTGATCCATGTACACTGATACTTATATGCTTATTATTTTAACTGTAGTCATCAGTCACCTTAAGTGCCTCACATTTATATTATCCTTAAATGGCTAGACAAATGTTGCCTGCCATCTTTATGCTAACACAAGAAATTTGAAGGGCGCTCATTTGTGACATTAATCATTCTCTGGATAGAAAGCCTTTATCTTTGTTACCAATCGAGGTAGGAATCTGATCAGGACATGTTAGTGTTGGTGGTTAATATTTTCCAAGTCGTCCAGCCCCAACAAGTATTTTTCAGATAATGAAAACCATATAATTTTGCGCTTATTTTTTTGAGGTGGTTGATGTACAAGTATGTTGACTGAGTTATGCCTATGCAAGAATTCCAGGCTTAGAGATACAAGAGCGCACACATTTGTCTCTGGATTGTGTTGTAAACTGAGCTGTGAGCTTCAGAGCAGGATTTAAAATAGGGTTTGTGCGGTGTCTTTTAAAAAGTGTGGCGTTCACAAAAGTGCCTTTTATGCACTAACTTTCATAGTTGTAATAATTGCAGAGACAATGAAAATGACGATATTTAAAATACAAAAAGTTACGTTAAAGTTTCAAATGTATACACTTAAATATCAGAAACGAAAATGTGCTGGCTTCCATCGTAATGCTGCTAATACCTGTATCATGGAGGGTGTGTTTCTGTTCTGGTGGCTAGACTGAAAATAGACCAATGTAGCTGTACAGATGTCATAAGCCTGCTATTTCCCCCTCCCACCCTTCCTCCTTCCCTCTCTGCAAAGTGGGCAGAGGTTTGGAACCCATCAGCTGGTATATGCCAAGAAGTAAAGGAGTGTCTCCAAGAACAGCATCGTCTGGAGCCACTCTGAGGTTAAGGTTGGTGCAGCTTATGCACTGCCCCTTACTCAGGTTGAAAGACCATCTTCCCTACATATAAATGTGAATCTATTAATATTAAATGCATGTCTTCAAAAATATACAGGGTGTTCATTGTGGTGGAGTTGATGGATACATTTGTTATTGTGTTTCTTCTTGTATTAAACACGTAGGTATCAAGGATGAGTGTATTGGAGACTTTTAATTAAATAAGACCACAAGAAAAAAGGAGAGGTTTACAAATGGCTTTTCTAAGCTGGGGAAAAGTTGTCTGCCTCTGATGCAGGAGTGAGAGCAGTGTATGTTTTATTAAATCTCTCTCACTAATAAGTTCCCTGTTACATGAAGAGCAGCCTTAAATGATTCATAGTTTGTATATTATATTTTTAATATCATGCTTTTTATGTACTACTGTGTGTACATTGAAAATGGTGTTGAGGGTGATGCATTTCTTAAAAATTGTACTTGCAGCTGCCTATGGTTGCTGAAATTTTTGGCCATCGCGTTCTCAGTCCGCGTTAGATTTCCTCATTCACCCATGCCTAGTCACTCTGAGTAAAGCAAACAATGTAGAAATGTTTATCCACAACCCACGTTGCTCCACCTGTCAGTGAAAGCTAAGACAGAGTGCTACACCTTCAGGTCCAGCAGCCAGTCTTGTTTTAGGCGGTCATGTGCTCTAAAGAGTGTAGATTTTGTTTTCAAACATTTCTTTTTGGAGGGGGTTATGGTTGAAATAGCGTGGGGCCATTGTGCTTTTAGGAAGAATTTGAATAGTAGTGGGGATGTTTTGCCTACGTGAAGAGGGGCTGACTTCCAATATAGGCCTTGATTCAGAAAGATAATTTGGCAGATTCATAACTTTTTAAGTATCTGAACAAGCTCCTATTGACATGTTTAAAATTACACCCATGCCTAAGTGCATGAGGAGAACAATGGGAGTAGTCTGCAGAGCCTATGGGAGTGACCGAAGGTCCATAGGTAATTAATTGGGAGAGAAAGAGAGCTGAGATGTAGGCAGAGGAGTTTGAAGATAAAGACAATGTGAAGGCACAGAGAAGAATAACGGGGAGGAGTGATATCCGTGAGGTGGTGGAGTCAAAGCATAATCAGCATCAAGTTATTTTTGTCATAGTTTATTCAAAGCTTCCTGGATTAATTGCAGATTGAATTCTGCACTTTGCTTACAGATACAGAAATACACTCCAGCCAGCGAAGAGCATCTCTCACCGGAGCTCCGGGAGTGGGCGCCGTATTCACCAAAACGTTCCACTAGGCACAGCGATGGTTTTGTGTCTCCCTCCTTGTACGCTGGAGGCATGTCATCAGGTTAGTGATGACGACCTGGATGGCAAGGCCTGTAATGTCATTGTGAAAATTTGTCGTCAGTTGTAATGTTCTGACTGCAAGCTAGAAATATTCATTTTGCGTTCCAAGCAGCCTTCAGTTAGTAAACGTAAAGGCCAGCAGTGACCATTATGATGGTCATGCTGTCTGGTGAGAAAAACAAGGGCAGACACCCCCTTGAATTAGATTTCACCAACTCAGTACTGAATGTGAACTCCTGAAGCACTATACCAGTCTTAACATAGAGTCAGAGGCAGTCACTTGGGCACGCCTGTCTATCTTGCCGCCATGGCAAGCGGGGGCCTTAGTGGCAGCTGCACGCCAAGGGCAGCAAAAGTCGCACTGTTCATACGTAACCAGAAACCAGGGAGTTTATTTTGAGTGAGCCCATGAATGTCGAGACTCAGGAAGGTTACCGGTGATTCACAGAGATCTCAGAACGGAGCTTCGTACTAAATGAAGAGACCACTGGAATGTGTTTTAAAAGACCTGAATTGAATCCTGTCACTGCCACTAATTTGCTGTGTAGTCTTGAGCAAATTGCTTTCTGTGCCTCTTCAACCTCCAGCGTTTGATCTGACAAATGAGACTGTAAGGCCTTTGAGGCTCTTGTAATATACCTCTCCCACTGGAGCCTCTGAGTGCAATTTTACTATAAACACTAAATTTGCCGCCTTCGATCAGATTGAAACTGTTCATTGGAGAGGTTTACTTCAGTTACAAAAGGCAGTGTGAGAGGACTGCATGAAATCAATAGCAAAAATGAGCATTTTCCTGCAGGAAATGTTACAAAGCAGACATTTCAGTTAAATTGCCTACCTTATTTAAAAAAAAATGCTGTAGAATTGATATAGATGTACTGGCTGAGGAGGGGGCTGTGTAAAGCAGACAATGTAGAAATGCAGGCAATAGAGCATCCCCTAACCAATGGTAGGTAGAAATCTATCCCTGGTGTCTTTCAAAATACTTGTTTAATATGGTTTGCATTTCTGCTAGCATAGAATATCTCAGAAAATGTATCTCTATGTATTTGCCTGTGTTGAGTGAGGGTCTGAGGTATGACAGTTCTTGTTAGGGCTTACTGAGATTTCATCCTGGTGATCAATACTTACAGGGAGACAACAGAACACTCATTCAACTTCTGTGCCTCAAATTACCCAGCTGTAAATGAGGATATTATTTAATTAACGTTAGTAAAATTGAGCATTCTTTAGCCTAGTAGCATCCCAAGCATTATAACATGTAATAATGAAACTTATTAATTAATAACTGGACTTTATTGCAAAGTCTTTTCACTAAAAATGCAATTTCCTTAATAATGCCCATAATTTTTGAACAGATCTCAAACTATATCTGACAGTAAATATTTGTTTTGTTTCTTTGTATTTCTGCAACTGTGAATTAAAATACCAAAATTTAAATGTGAGCATTTATTGAACAACATTGTGATATGAGAATATAAATAGTAAGAATTAGGACAACCAATGTGGTATGCAGCTTCTTCATACTGTAACTTAAAGCAAAGTAAGGGTTTGGTTATACAGGAAAAAATGGGATATGCCCAGAATGGGATTATATGGTTTCTGAGAAGCAGAAAAGAGAATCACCAGGCAGGTGATAGGGACTGGCTGCTCTCCCTCTTCCCCCACAACCTATCTGCCTGGTACTGTCTCAGCCCAGAGCTTCCCATCCCCAGGTGTCCTTGAGACAGGGCAAGTTGTGGGGGCTGAAGCCCCTCACCCATTTCCCATGCGAACATTGCTGGGTGTTCCTCTTTGTCAGGGAGCAAGGGGCAAGTAAGCGGAAAGTGCACAGTTTGCACTTGACTGCAGAGTGCGGGGGCAGAGAAACTTGGACTTGCCTCAGCCAAGGGACATGAACCTCTTCCCTGGCTGTGCCCACTCAATCTGCAACAGTCATGGAGAGGCACTTCTCACCTGGCCCCAAGCTGCTACCGAGAGAGGGAGGTGGGGTAGTCCTCTGACCCTGTGACAACCTGCCTACTGAACCCCTCATCTCCATTTCCATCCCAGAGCAATTATTTAAATGAAGAAAAACAAAAATTATTTGAGTTAGGGACCTGAGTAACTCCAGTTAAATCTTCCACTAAATTAATAACTGGGACTTTATTGGAAGGTATTTTCACTAAAAAGCAGTTTCCTTATTTTTATTTGTGTTCTTAATTTTACAGCAAACCTCACAGTATATCTGACTGTAAATATTCATTGTCTTTCAAAATATTTCTGCCACTGAATTACATTACCAAAGCATTTGTTGAACAACATTTTGCCTGAAAGTAAAATATAAGTGTACTTTAATGAAAATCCTAAATGAGACTGATGTGTAAATATCAGTTTCAAAGTGTTGGGAATTGTCAGTCTATGGCCATAGGATGCTACAGAAGTTGGAAGTATATGAGCCAACTGACGAGGGAAAATGAAGTTTGTAGCCAAGAACAGTTTTTGTGCACCTCTCTAAAATTTTACCTCTTACCTAATTATAGTTCAGCTAGAAGTGTGGAACGATTGCCTTTACATATGAATGTTTGACACTTTCATGACCTTGACAAGAGACAGAAAAATCTTCCTATTTTGGTGGGCAAGTAGATTTTTGAGCTGTTCAATAAAGCAGTCTGAAATAATGCATTGAACATATTGTAGCTGTGTGTAGCTTTCCACTTGATTAGTGACTTGCATAAATAACTTGAACCCAGCATGTTGAATATATCTAGAGCATTTGAATTGATTAGGGAAAAACTCATACCATATATTTTTTCCACTTGAAAATAGGTACTGTACCAAGAAGTTTAGCACCCTGTCCTGCAGTAACTGCTGTAATGAGAAATCCAGTTTATACTGCTTGGAGCCACAGAGTTCATGCCAACAATTGCCCGTCAGTTGCCAGCCAAATCTGCCATCAGCACCTGCACCCTAGGTATATATTCAGAACATCACATTTGTAGATCTTTATTTACAAATAAAATCAATAAGAGAAAGCTGCTTCTTGCTCTGCACTGTGGTCCACACAAAGTGCAACTCTATATACTAGTGCAGTATAATGTAAAATAGTAGTTCTGTTGCACCCTACACCTGGGAATCTCAAAGCACTTTACAAACACTGTATAAAGTCAGTGACTTCTTCCTATGTAATGGGTTTCTCTGAAAAAAGCCGTGCAACGCTGGCTTGTATATTTTTGCCTGAGAATAATTTACTGTGAAAGTAAAGTAGAAAGTGACTACAAAATCTGTAGAAAATTTAGCAAGGTCATTAAAAACTTAACCCTTATCTGTAATGTTGACTTAACTTTTTGTTGTTTCCCACTGACTCAACTCTTTCTTCCATTTGGAATTTCCATAGTTAAATGGCTTTGCAAATTTGAACCCTACTTGTGTTTGAAGATGACAGATTAAAATTAAGCAAAGTTATTAATAGTTACTGTGAATTTCTTGGGCCCAACTCGCCTCTCATTGGCAAAGCCAGAGAGCAAACCCAATTCCTGCTTCCCTTGATTAAGCAAACAGTTCATTATTAGGTTAGATTCATATATATTTTGCAAATATTTAAAATTGTTCCCAAAAGCTTACTAGAAAAAGATTGAATTTATCACGAAGGACATATTCTGTTGAAAGCTTAGAGAACTGAATTAAAGGCCACAAATATTATTTCTGTTGAGCTGTGGCTCAGTGCACCATCTGTATAAGAATGTAATATAAGAGCATTTGGTCTCTGCCTTCCAACTAAGTAATAATCTTATTAGCATATTTCACAAAGAGCAAATATGTTTCTCCTAATAGCCATAACTCAAGACTCTTAAAGAATTTTTGAAGATTGCAGTCTGTGGTATACAATAATAGCTATGTGTTTGATCACATTATCAAAAATTGTATTTAATGTCCTGTTAGGAAGTACTATGTTTGTCCTATCTCGGACTGGCTTGTACAAATGTCTTCTAAAAAAAAAAGTTTTCTCTGGGATTGAATAAAGAGGTAACTTTATTGTGCTTATTATGGAATACTTCATAGAATGCAGTTGTATATGGTTCATGATTTTAAGGATGTATTGCAGTGAAATAAATGCATAAAGTTGCTGTCCAAGTAGTAGTAGCGAGCTAAAGCAAAGGATCAGTGGCATGGAGCTACATTGTTTGGAATTTAGTATAACTTATTTTGTTTTTGATGCAGTGCTCAGCACCAAGGTCGCTTGAGTTTGGATCTAAGTCACAAGCACTCCAGTGATTATTCTGAAAACTCACGGACGAGGGCATCACATGGTTCAAATTCATTACCATCCAGTGCAAGACTTGGTAATTAGCATTTCAAGTTCATTCACGCTCTCATTACTTCTAAGACAAAGCAGAGAAAATTCCAACCCCACTCAAAGCATCCTTGAGGGATCCTTCATATCGGATACATCTTTTTTCTTGCTTTCAGTTCCTGGCTCTTAAAATTTCTCCTCACTGAGAGGATTTGAATGAAACCCCTTTTTCAGCCTATATGCTGCTTAGTATGTCACAGTTGAATGGTGCGAGACACTTTTTAAGCAGCTGTTACTGTATGGAAGGCAATTGTGTGATGACTGTTATCAGCAGGTAGACAGATTTTCTAAATGTTATTTTGAGTTTCAGAGTTATGATGAGAAGTGAGAAAGGAGGTAGCTCCAGAAGGGAGGCATAGATGTTACCACTGATCAAATAGCTGTGTAGTACTTAGTTGAAAAGTATTATCTTGTGGGAAGATAAGAAGGTGTATTAAATTGTTTATATCGACCTTACACAGTTTTGATATTTACACTTGGGTACGTATCTATTCCAGCAAAACTTAAATATACACACACTTCATGGCAATAGTCTTTAACATGACATAGACCTTTTAATTCTGAAACGTATTTTTAAAATTGTATCTTCAAGAATGCCATTATCCATCACAAAATGCAATTACGTCTATGGCAGAACATGGTAGCAGTACAACAAAACCCACATTCAGGTTAGGGTAGGAAGAGATGTATCCACTGAAACGAATATAGGTAACTGGAATATAATTAAACTCTTTCAGAATGTGCCAGTGAAAGTTACGAATATAGGTAACTGGAATATAATTAAAAACTTTCACTGGCACATTCTGAAAGAGAAGTGACCACAAGTGAACAGCACCTGTCTTACATGTTGTGTATTTGGTCAAAATTTTAAAGAGTTATTTAGCACCCAATGGAGTATTAGCAATGTACATTAAGCAATTCCATAGCTATATTAGCTGTTTGAGCCAGGCAGCTTGTTAGCCACGGTAATGGGAGAATAAAAGGGTTTTGGAATTTTTTTTATTTTATTTTATTTTTTTTGCAACACCTTAATTGTGCTAGAACTGGACTCTTGCACCCATATAGAGAACATTTAGCGTTCCTTTGAAGAATCAGGACTTAAATATGTTTTATCTGTTTGCATTTAAGTATGTTATAAATTCTAACATTTTCTTGTTACAAATAGGCTCTTCCAGCAACTTGCAGTACAGGACTGAAAGAATTAAGATCCCTTTAACCCCAAGGTATCCAAGGTCCATCATGGGCTCCGACAGGGGTAAAATCTTCTATTCTTAACTTTTTTTGGTAATATTTTCAGCATTGCCAACCCCAAGCATTAAAAAAACAGGTCCCAAAAGAATATTTTAAAAACTAGGAGATTTTTAAAAACTGCAATAGAAAATGTTCCTTTTTACTTTTCTGCATGAAAGCACTTGATTCCAGGAGCTGCAGCTTCATGGAATACATCAGTTATCACGAGTCTTCTGTAGGCAAATATGAAGTTATATCCTAAGTGGATAATAGTGGTGAAATTATTCCATAAAGGTGTATATATAATTGTGTTAACTCTAAAACCTCGTATTCTTTGGAAAATTCAGTCTTTCTAACCGGGATATAAGAGTTTAAAGGGTTTTGATTATTAATATTTTGATTATATAAAGCATTCATCTGAGGACTTGAATATTTTAAACAATATTGATTGAATTATTGAAAATATTGGAATTGTGAAAATAATTTTCAGCAAACAGTTCTTATCTCTGTTCATGAAGTATAAAGCAGAACAAATTTTCTTTGTAATATTTTAAAAACTATTTTACATGAGTAGAATTCAGTCTGTAAACTGCTTGCAAGTTGACGACTGCTATTATTGCTTTGACTCTTCTGAATCCTTAATTAAGTATTGAAAATACTTTGAATGGACATACATAGAGGTCACATGTTACGTTATTATACCCTGACTAAACTTAACTCTTAACTCATTCATAATTATAAATGTATTTTCTGCAATGTTCCCTGATGCAGCAACTGATTGATTTGAACGTTCCTGACTGTCAGTTTTTTCAGTTAAATATTCTTGAGGAGGAAAACAGTCAAAGCAAAGTATTTAAAACCTTAGATATTCAATAATAACTTTCTGTACTACATGACCTGCAGGTTATATGTCTGGACTTTAGTTACTTAAGGCATTCTAGACTCAGGAGCAAAGGGATAAGATCCTCTTGAGACTGTCCATACATTTAAATCTTTTTGTTTTTCCCTAGGTTTTCTTTATTTCATTATGATGTCAGGGCTTTCCATTACTCATGTGCATTTCTATATTCATTTGAAGGAGCTGGCCTGCGGGCTATTCTCACTGTTACTGCTTCAAGCCAATGCTTTCAATTTCTAGAGCAGTAAAATCAACTCACATTTGAAAGGAACATTGCATGTGTAAATATCTTCGGGTACGTCTACACAGTAGCATTATTTTGGAATAATAGATATTATTCCGAAATAATATATTGCACATCTACACAGCAAGCCTCTTATTTCAAAATAACGGGCTTCTTACTCCAACTCCTGTAAACTTCCTTGTATGAAGAGTAAGGACATCGGATGAAGAGTGCTCTCTTTCGAAATAAGTGCTGTGTAGACGTGCCCAAATTTGAAATAAGCTGTTTTGATTTAAGCTATTTGATAGCATAGGTCAAGTTGCATAGCTTATTTCGAGTTGAGCCCAACTATGTTTATGTAAATTATACATCACATATTATGGGTGTGCTTGTCTTTTAATACCTCTTCAGATTCCTCCGTTGTAAGACATTTACAATAAGCACTTTATACAGAAACTGATTTCCTTTCTTACATTATTGCAGGTTCACTATCACATTCTGAATGTAGCAGTCCCAGTCTGATAACCCCTCCACAGTCACCACTGAACCTGGAAACCTCTTCTTTTGCCAGCAGCCAGTCACAGAACTCCCTTTCTACATTACCTAGGATTTCTATTAGCCCTGTATCAATTGGAGAGCGTAGAAAAGATAGGTAAGGTGATGGTGGTTGTCATCTTTCATACAATTCTACTTAAGATAATCTTATTCAGTAAAGTGAAAAAATATGAACAATTGGCTTTACAAAATCAGGAGTATATATTAAGTGCTGAGCTGTACTTTAAATCCTGTTACTCTTCTTTTTTGTTATGATTTATGTGCTGTGAAAGAAGCTTGTGTTGCATACTCTTCCTTCAGAAGTTACAGGATAGTGTTAAAACTTTCAGAAACTCTTAGGCTGATGCATGTGATGGGGTACTTTCTCCTAAACTGGATTGTTCTCCTAGGCTTGTTCAGATGTTGATCCCTTAAAGAATCTTTCACTAGGAGTCAATAATACAAAATGAAGACCTGGAAGTAGTTTTTGGTTAATGCTCAACTTGTTAATGTTACTAGCCACCAGGCCTACCCCTCATTTTTACTTGCTGTGATTTGGAAGGATTCAAGTTCAAGCAGATTTCTTCAACGAGGTTTAAATTCAGGATCATGGCCCTGATCCTACAAAAATGCTTGTGCATGCTTAACTTCACTACCATGAGTTAGTCCCAAAGATTTTAATGGATTATTGGCAGTAATAAGAACAAAAGAATGGCCGTACTGGGTCAGACCAAAGGTCCGTCTATCCCAGTAACCTGTCTGCCAACAGTGGCCAATACCAGGTTGTGCTGTAGCCTGTCTGCCAATAGTGGCCAATACCAGGTTGTGCAGGATGTTTGGAGCCTAAGTATGATACTGGAGTTTTAATATAATGTAAGTTTTCATTGATGTCACATCCCTGTATCTTACAATGCTCCTTCAGCTTGTGCTAATTAATTTTGGACTGTTGGTTTTACTTGTATTGTAAATGCGCTATATCTGCATTTGTTAGAGTTTACATAAACTCAGAATATCAAACAACTAACCATGGACTTTTACACTGAGGCCTATTTGCACTACTTCGGCAATATAAAGGAACCTTGATGTAGGAATAAATTACATTTACATGCACTTCATCAAGAGTGGTAAAAATAGCAATCTGGCCCTTAAAATGGCAATAAAATCGAATAACAAGAACATCCTATATAACATTAAACTAATTCTTAAATCTTATATGAACTTTTCAGGTTTCATCTCACTGTAACTGAAGATATTTCAGCAGCTTTTATTCCTGTGTGTGTGTGTGTGTGTGTGTGTGTGTGTGTATAGTACTATACATTGCAGTTTTGCAAGTGATTGTAGAAAACTCATGGTGGAGCTTTATTTATTAATTCACCATGATGAGCACAACTGTATTCAGTTAGCAAGTCAGAAGATGTTTTCTGCTAATGATCAGTCATGCAATCCTACCCTGGAATCTGAAAGTCTAACTGCATTTTCCCCTTTTTGCACGTGTTTTCTGCTAATGATCAGTCATGCAAGCTTACCCTGGAATCTGAAAGTCCAACTGCATTTTCCCCTTTTTGCACATAACTTTGAGTGGTTTAGTATGATATGTTCAATGTTACCTGTGTAATGTCATATTCATGGGCTATCAGGTTACACTGGTATTCGTGCTTGGGAACTTAATCAAAAATATGTTGTACAAGCAAGAGTAATATCTTGCTCACGTAGCCATTTTGACTTTGCTTGGCTGGTGTGAAAAAAGCAGATACAGAGGGTAAAGATCTGCTGAGTAAGAAGGTGCTGTTTTTACTTCTCACGTTATGAGAGAAGATGGAAGTGCTGACACACCCAGGACCACAGAGGGGAGTTAGTCTTAGAATCAGGACTCAAATTAAGGAGTTCTTGGGTGCTGTAATTATGCTCGTCATTAGATGAGACCTTTCTTTTATCCATACAAACTGATGACATTAAGAATGCCCCTACTAAGAGTTACCAGAAGAGTGTTCCCTTGGAAAGGGATGCTGACAAAGGCAGTGGGTAGGGAGAGAAAATTGGCAGGAGAGAGAAATCAAAAGCAGATCAGACAGAAATCTCATTAAGGATTTTTCAACTATAAATGCTGTTTTTATGATAATGAAGGGGAAAGAAGTCCTCCTTGTTCTCCCACCTCCCTCTTTCCAAAGCCATTGGTCAGGTGCTTTTGAAACTTTTACCTAGGGAACTAGCAGCACCATTTTATAAGCATTCTCTAGAACAGTGATTCTCAACCTTTCTATCACTGTGGACCACAAATGCAGCTCTCTGTGTTATGTGAATCACATCGAAACAAGATTGACTGGGCTGCTGACCGCAGGTTGAAATACTTTTCTAGAAGGTTGATGTTTCTGTTGTCAGTACCACAAAAGGTGTAATGTGAGTGTGTGTTGTTCTGTCATGTGGAAGGGGTTAGAACTGGGCACCACGTTAACAATTATAGGCCTTAAGCAGTTGTGGTTTCTTCTGCCTTTTGGAGTAAGGAGTAGAAATTGCATGTTGGTCTGGGAAACTCATAAACAGACTGATTTCCCTTCCCTAAAGTTTTATAACACTCAGGGATTCAACGAGAAATAGACATCCAAATCTGAGTACAGTGAATGCAGGGAATGACGGGGAGAAAACTACACCAGGCTTTCATTCTGAAATAACATGTATAGACTATTTTATTGTTATGCTTTTTAGTGCCTGTTACTATTGTGTGTCTAAGTGTTCTTTTCTTCTCAAATCTTCTGCATCTTTCAGATATCTGTTCCGTAATAGGTCTTTTCTGAGAATCCCTCTGGCTCCTAGGCCTAGGTTCTCATCACTAAGGAGTTTGAGGTTGGCCTGATATAAGGTTGTCCTTCTCAAGCAGTATTGCGCACCTTGTGCTATTTTATGTTTGATAATTTCCCTCAAGGAGAATTTGCATGGTAAATGTAATGCTACCATGCAAACTGCTGTCTTAAAGCTTGAGTTTGCAACAGCTTAATTTTCATTACTAATTTGCGTTTCCCTGCGTACAAGTATAAAACTGATTTTGTGTTTATTGGCTTCTCTTGGTTCCCCGTGTTATTATTTACAATGTTTGTTTTCACTGGATATTAAGACTCCCAGCATTTATAAACTGTAAGGCACTTTTCTGGAATATGGTTTGTAAATTGCATATTATATAGAGTGGTTTACTTTTATATAATATGGATGTGGAGATTTATTTCCTACCTCTTTCACCATCATAGTATTTATAATTCACTTTTGCTGTAACTTTTTTTATGCAGTCATGTATCTAGAATTGTGTATCTGATATACATTTAGTTCCACCACTCTACATTGCATGGTGTTTAAGGAATGCATAGGCTGTTTACAGTATTTTAGTAGCTTTTAAAACTAGTCTTAATATTCCACTTCAGATTACATAGCGCATGTCACTTTTAAATATTTTGCTTTGAGTGCCATTTTGTCCAAATCATTTTTTAACAATTTCTTCTTAAAGGCCATATATGGAAGAACCACGCCATGTTAAAGTGCAAAAGGGTTCTGAGCCACTAGGGATTTCCATTGTGAGCGGAGAAAACGGTGGCATATTTGTGTCTAAAGTAACTGGTGGGAGCATTGCCCATCAAGCTGGCCTTGAATATGGTGATCAGTTATTGGAGGTAATTTTGTTCACTTAATATTTCTACTACTTTAGTAAACAAATGCAGTTGTGTAATAGCTTGTGAACGAGAAGTCATCTCTCAAAATATAAATACAATACAAGGGATAGTCTAGATCATAATGTTTTAATTGTATGTGAAGTTTCATCACAAATTATTCAGAAGTTTTTCCTTCGCTAAGCATATTTTGTATAAGGGATAATGCTACTTTGAAGGTAGCTTTCTGTCATCTAAAAATGAGACATATTTGAGGATTGTCATCAAGTTATCAAACATTAGTTGTGTTGATTTCTCCCCAAAAGAGTAATTAAATCACTAGTTCTGTAGCTACTTTTTCTCCCCTTTGTTCAGACACCCATCCTGCAGCGCTCCCACAGATTGAGACTTGTGTTGATGTTGCTTTTTGAAACACATCAGGATGCTGCAAGTCCTAAAATTATTTTTCCATTTTTTCCTTTGAAAATGTGATTTCTAATGTCTTACATTTATTCATTCTAGTTTAATGGAATTAATCTGAGAAATGCAACAGAGCAACAGGCTCGACTGATCATTGGGCAGCAATGTGACACCATTACTATTCTGGCTCAGTACAACCCCCATATGTATCAACTTGGCAATCACTCACGATCGAGGTAAGTTTAGCTAGACCTTGAAAATGCTACTCTTGGTCTGAATCATTTATCAAGATACTAAAAACATTCTGAACGGAGACTGTTCACTAAAGCTGTTTTGATAAGAAATATGAGTGCTTAGAGAAAAACCAAACAAGGTGATGGGATCCATTTGTTTTATTTAGTTAGTTTAAGAGTAAACAAGGGAAAATAAACTTTTCAGAAATATGAAACTAAAACCAAAAAGTGTTCTAGCACTGTAATCACACATTGGTTTGCTGTGGCGGAGAGGCTGGTGCTGAGTGCTAGTATCATCCACACTGTCAAAAGACCACTAAAGGTTTGGCTTGCAAAGTCAGTGCATGTAGAAACCAAGGACCTAACTGGGAGGTCTGCACAGAGAAGTATTGTAGAACAAAACCCAAAGACACATTAGCTATAAGATTAATACAATTTAGAAAAAAATATTGGAAGGCTTATACTGATGATTGCAATAATTTGAGATTTCTTAGTTGATTTCAATTTGATTATATAGCCCAGATTGAGATTCCAGGGAAAATCAGTATCTAGATGGTTAATGTTCCTCCAAGTCTGAAGTTAGTTGGGGATTTGTTGAACTGTTAACCGTTTATATCAGTGTGTGTTACCCATTTTGTCTGTCTGTTTAGTTCTCGTTTAGAACCAGTGAGCAACCATTCCACTCCTCAAGGCAGTGGGGCGGCAACCCCCGACAATCATTCCATAATTGATACTGTGAGTGAACAGGATGAAGGAACAATGACACCTCCATCCAAACAAACCACACCTACAACTAGTCCCCGGAATTCCATGAGGTAAATACTCAGACCTGTTCGTTTTCTGCTTTTGAAAAGGGGGGGAGGAAAAGACACAAAAATGAAGTGCACTGACATTTTTAAATAGACAGGAGCACATGGGCTAGGAGAGAACCATTTCCATGTTTCTTGCAAACCTGTTTGAGAAGCACTTCAAATACAAATAATAGAAACAAGATTAGTTGAATTAAGAATAATACAGGATGCATGAAATTGTAGTTAAAAATGGGGTGCTTGTGCTGAAGGGATGTAATAGAGGGAAATCCATTGCTTTTGTTGAGATGACTAATGTAGTTAAAAATGGGGTGCTTGTGCTGTAGGGATGTAATAGAGTGAAATTCATTGCTTTTGTTGAGATGACTAGGGGTGCTTGAGCTGTAAATGAGCAACTAATCTATTTTTTAAAATTGCTATTCAAAGGGTCCCCGTGGACACAAACAAGAGGACCCCAGAACCAAGAAATGTTGTCATTAAAAAATCCCAAGTGGAGCTTGGAGTCCAGATCTGTGGTGGAAACCTGTATGGAATATTTGTGTCTGATGTAGAAGATGATAGCCCAGCCAAAGGACCAGAAGGACTAGTTATGGGAGACATGATACTTGAGGTAAACCATGAAGATGCACAAAATACAGGCGACATATTCCTGTTGCTTCTAGAGTCTTTACAGCAGGGCACTTTCTGGCAAGTGATAGCTTCATGTAGTTATCTAGAGTAACTGCTTTGTTGTGGACCCCCCCTCTTTTAGATTTCTGTCCGCTGGTGTTCTTTTCTGCACTTCATGATAGTTATCTAGAGTAACTGCTTTGTTGTAGACTCCCCCTCTTTTAGATTTATGTCCGCTGGTGTTCTTTTCTGCGCTTCATGATAGGTCGTGCTTGCCCTAGAGACACCCGAAAAAAATTCCATGAAGACCTGTTAATTTCCATCAGTATTAGTAACCCTGGAAAACCTAGTGCAAATTGACAGCCCTGCTAAACTTTTAAGTGATGGTATGAGAATTCTTGAGTCTCTGAGACCTGTGACTTGTCCCCATAATTTCAATGGAGTGTTGAGACTTAAGTCTCATAAGCATTTAAATGCCACCAGGAACTATTTCACAGGTGATCGTTTTAGCAGACAAGTGATTATTTTTCATTGCTGGCTGGAGTGGCAACTGGGACAGAGTGTAGTGGGGCACCTAGTTGCTGGAGCATTTGAAGGTACCACTGTCAGTTTAACCTCTCTTTCAGCCATAGCTATAACTCCTAGTGTAGACATGATGAAAATTCTGAGAGCCATGATTCGCACAGTTCTGTGTTTCTGCAGTAGGAATTTGCATTGGTACAGTGTAGAGAAGACGACACATACTGCTGTGAGGCAAGGCATCCGCTTCCCAGAACAAAAACTGTCCTGAGACTTACATTGTACTTACTCCTTAACAGTTACAAAAATCGGTAGTATGCTGCAAGAGTAACAGCTGCCACAGCATAGAAAATGGAATGAATATGAAAACCCTAAATTGCAGAAAACTCTGTGCCCACTGGAACAGACTGAGGAGGGGAAGTACCACCCCATGATTCTTGAGTCTGATGCATAACTTGGGCTTTATATACCACTGAGGGCCCAGGGCCTTGGTTAAACTCTCACAAATAGTTGGAAGGCCCTGGCACTTCATGGAGATTTATCTTTGCTGAAGACAGGGAGTTTACAGTACAAACCACACACCAGCTCCAAGTACCAGGGT